AATTAGGGTATGCTTAAGTTAGCCGCATCTCAAAATTAATTTCTTCTTGGTCTGCTCAAAGGTAGGTTATCTCAAAACTAATTCTTCCCTAATATGATCAAAGGCAAGCCATTTAAGTTGGATAAGAGAATTTATAAGAAATTACCCTTTCAAGAAAAAACCTTGATAATTTTATACAACAAATAAATGATAATTAGAAAAATTTTAATTTAAGTGAAAATGCTCTACAATTACGACATATAGTAGGAAGAGAATTTTGAATTGTTATTTATTTACCATAGAAAATGATCTTGTTAAACTTTATATAAAAATTGAATTAAAAACAATTAAATTAGATTGAAGAAAGAAAGAAAAAAAATTAGTTCTTAAATGAATATGTCATTGAATTCTTTTAGAGTGAGGTTTCACTTATATACAATTTTAATGCATATAATTTATTTAAAATATTTATCATTTTTTTATTATAAACAATTAAAATTTATTATAATTTTTTAAGTAAAAAATAATTATTTTTAAAAAATAAGATAAAAAGTATTTAAATATCAATCACTCATGACGAACAGTTAAGTAGTGAACATTGTGGATAAGTGAATTAATCTTATTTTTTTATTTTTACGTTTCAGAATTCATTTGCATGAAAAGAAATGCAAGGGGTAGGTGGAAAAAATAGCAAAAAGGGTGCAAAATTGGATCCATGCAAGATCTAACCCCATTGGTTTTTAATGAAACCCAAATCCATGGCATCAAACCCAAAACACAAAAACCCCCCGTTTTCAATTCATGGTCCGACCTGGTTCATCACCCAATTCATTCAGCCTACCTTGTCTGCTCACTGTCAGAAACGCAAGCGATCGATTCTTCTGCACTTCAGCGGCCGCGCACCCTTTCAGTTTCTGCAACTCGATTTTCTCATCTGGGAGCTATTCTCACTGCCGCCATCTGCCTTCTTCCTCTTCGAGGAGTTCGAGCAGCAGGAAATGGAGGATATCGGGGGCTTTCTCTGGCGAAGTCTCAGACGCCGGCAACAGAGTTGCAACCACCGGAAAGGAACTTGCAATCTCAAGAAGTCCAGCTGCCGATTGTGAAGATAAAGACATTGAGCTTTGTTTTGGAGTGAACTTGTAGAGTTTGAGGTTTTCTCGGTAAGTCTTGATATCAGCTCGAGAAATATTTTATGATTGAAATTCTTGATTCTATTGAACTGTATATTGAGATGTTATTGGTGATTAACTATTTTTGCTGGATTCTCAGGGTAGAAATAGAATTCCTATGTCTTTTCATGATAAAAAAAAGAAAGGAATCAGATATGAGTTCATTTTCTGTTTTGCTTGTAAATCTTGAATTCTCACCATTTGGTTCTTTGGTTTCTGCAAGTGATTGTTTAGATTCATATGTGTTAAGTTGGTGAAATTTTGCTTTCTAGTGTTTTGGCAGTTGTGGGTGTGTGCAGAGTATCTGCTGTCTTGTAATTGACATTGAAATTTGGAATTTCATCCCTTTCAAACATTACAGTGAATCTGTTTTCTCCTTTTTATTTATCAATTTTTTTTGGGGGGGTTCAAAGCTCCTTATTCCATGTTTATTTTACTTTTGAATCACTAAATGGAGTCTAGGGAATTAATAAACACTTGCTTTAAGCTTGATTTATACTTAAACTCTTGCTTGTCCTTTTAAATGTTCAGATTTGCATAAAAACAAATGGGGAGAACCACTAATATAAGGATTAAAGGATTTTAAAAAAGAATGAAAAGAATACCTAAAAATATAAGAAAATAAATAGAAAAGTATTAATAAAAGATTTTAACAAAATTAATATGTTTGTTTGAATTGTTTTCTTTGAGTATCTTTTGCTTGTGTTTTGTAGTCAAATTATATCCCCAATTTTAAAGTTTACAACTATGTTTTTTCTAGAGATTGTGGGGTGCACGTATACCCTTCCCCATGCTTAACCTACCCTGGACTCCAAAACTCGGCAATTAGTCTGATTTTTGTCTGCCATAAGTTTGATATGTTATCTCAACCAAACTTGCTTCTACCTTTATGCAAATCCAAAACCAACTGCCACTGACAGTAGATTTTTTTTTTTTTTTTGGGAAATGGCAAAGATATCCATTGCTCAATTGGAGCAGTATACCTTTCGAAGTTAAAAATAATCAGAGAAATTTTAGTTTAGCTTTTATCAAATGTGGGTTTTCTGATTCAAATCTCCAAGCAGCTTTCTTTTAAATCTTTAACTTGAAATTTAAATCCAAATCAGGGGGTTTCTGCGTTTGTTTTTCGCAATTTATTGATTTTGGAGGAGTGAAAGTGCGCAGCTCTGTTGCTCTGATACTAATCTCTTCACTTTTGGGGTATTTTGAAAGGGCGTTTGCTGGCTGTGATGGAGGAGACAGCTATGGCAGAACTTAGTCTGGGTACCCTTATAGATACCGTTGACAAGGAATGGATGAGGGACACTCTACCCATGGTATTATTTATTTTAAAAGCTGAATGTACATTGCATATATGGGTGTTGACCTCTAAGTGCTGAGTGATCATTATGTAGGTTTGTCCTTACATGTTATTCATAAGATCTGCCCATGTGTTCTGATATTCTACATAGATGCATTTTCTATGCTACCCATATTTATCTATACTATCACAGTATCACTACTAAAGTATGTGTGTTAGGGTTCCATCTTAGTGGTGTCTTAGGAAGGGATAATCAGAAACAATTCTACATTTTAGCATTTTTGTCTGTTTTGCGGTCCTTCTGATTTGTAGCATTTTTCATGTAGCAATCCCATATCCTGCTTGGTAGGGTGAAAGGACACTGATGTTTTAATATTTTGCTCAATTAATACAGATCTTCCTTTGCCACTGGTGCTGGTTGCTCGGACTGATGATACCAAAGACCCAAGTATGGCTAGCTTTTTCTGATTATATTTCTAGGAGAGCAATATTTTACTGATAAAGTATCCATATTTCTCCATTGTGTTGATTATCTCTCCTTCGTTCTGTGTTAGAACGTAGAAGAAGTAAAAAGTTATATATGCATGTAAAAAAATATTGAGATTGTCTTTCAATATTTTGTGGTTAAGAATATGAACTGTGTATATACCTCCCTAATATGAAACCCTTGTCTTTTCTCCCAACTTTTTCCATTTATTTATGTTGTCATTCTTTTTCTTCTTCATATTTTATTTGGAATTTTCTTAATTTTCAGATCAAGAGAATCAACAAGTCAATGAAGACACTTGGCATGATCTTGCATTAGGTACATTAAGGCTTCACATTAGCAGTACTTGGAACCTTGTTATTGAGAGCATTTGTTCTCAGGATTTGAAATTGGAAGCCTCAGACTTTTTTCTGTGTGCATGTGAAAATGTTAAAAACAGAGTAACATTAATTTTATGCACAAATTGTTCACTTAAACTTGATTCAAGTTAACAAGGCTGCTTATACCTGTTTAATGGTTAGCAATAACCCCATTTCTGAAAAACAAAGTAATTGTATCATGTTCAAGTAGATTAAAAGATAAATCAATAATTGAGTACTTCTGTTTCTATATTGTTGTATTGGCTGCCTAAGGATATCTTAGTCATTGACTGAGTTTGTGAAGCCATATTGCTCTAAATTGAGTTTAAGGTTATATTTACATTTACACTGTAGCTCTTAGTCTTTGGAATGCTCAAATATGGTGCAGTGTGTTGCAAGGTTACTGTGAAACAATTAGAATTTGAAAATATGAAATTTATGGTCCCAAGTTAACGTGTGTTCAATGTAGCACCAAATTGTGGCATACATTTTGCTTTATGCTTCTTCTTTCTCTCCCTCTCTGTGTCTCTTTTTATTTTTTTTTCTTCTTTCAGTGTAGTGAAAGTTAAATGAGGCCCAAGATGTTTTTAATTGGGCCTTTTTGGATATATTTAGATCAGTTTAAAGTGGTGTTAGAGTTAGATATTTTTTAAGGCTTTATGTAGAGTAGTATGGTTGTTGTTTTAAGTTTTTAGTTCTGGTTTTAATAAATTTTGCAATAACTAAAAATCAAAATTTAAAATAAAAAATTTAAAAATTGTCTTTTTAACAATGACAACAAAAAATATTTATGTGTTTAATGGTACTAAAATTATTTTTGTTCTTATTTCTCTAATAACCATAATATTATGTTGTAAAAATATGTGAAAGTAAACTAATTTTTATTTAGAGTTATAAAATTTATAAAAACGAAAATCAAAAACCTAAAATCATGAACATGCAAACTAAGCATTTAAGTAGTGTCAATTGTAATTAAAGAAAAAACAATAAAAATTGGATTAGGGGCAATCCTTGGCACGCCTGATCACTCAAGGCGGAGACTAATGCCTAGGTCCACCAAAGGGAATTTATTTAAGCCTATGTTGTGATGCAGTATTTCAAGCATGGGAAACACTTCTCTTTGGTAAGCAGACAAAGCTAATACCTAATAAGCAATAGGCAAACTTCTTTATTATATATATTGAGCCATAAGCAACCTCTTATTACAACCTCTTAATATGTAGTAGATGAGGTATTATATGGAATCAATAATCAAATAGAGGGATAGCACTCAAATACAGTCCAGACAAGCAAGTATTAAAACGTGACTAGTTCAATTCTTCTCTAACTTTTTTTTTTTTCTCCGTTAGAAGTGAGACTGGAGATACTTGATGACATTCTTGTCCAGCATGAAGGCCTTAGTAAGAACATCAGGATTTATTGGTGAATTTGATCCGAAAACAGAATTTGCAATTGTGATTGTGCCTGGATTCTGGCTACTCAAACCAGAAAAGGCAACAGCAGGAGTTTCCTCTATATTGAGCTGGAAGTGAATCAAACCACTAGGAAAAACAAATACATCTCCCTTGTTCAGCACTTTGGTGAAGAGACGGTTGCCATCTTGATTAGATGAGACAAAGCCAACAAATAGTGTGCCTTCTTGGACTACTAGAATCTCAGTTCCACGAGGATGAGTGTGAGGAGGATTAAGACCATTAGGTGCAAAGTCAATACGAACTAGGGATACACCAAGAGTGTTAAGCCCTAAAAGTTGTTCAACAAATGCCTGAGTGACAGCTGAGCCAACCGCATTGGATGTGTTTCCTGGCTTGTCAAACCCTGAAAGGAAGAAGTCGCTTGCTACAACAAGCTTTGGGTCCTTGCAAAACTTCCCATTCACAAACACTGCACCAAAGACGTGTTATTGGAGAGAATGCCAACCAAGATATATATATATATATAATGTAAATGCCGACCAAAAAATATATAGTACACTTTTAAATGAAGTTTCTACAAAATGCAATGTCAAAAAAGGAAGACATACCACCAGTCTTGGTGTCATTGATGGCTACACAGAAGTCCTGGAGAGGGCTAGGATCATATGCAGAGGCAAAGGAGGAGGCAATAGCCAATAGGGCAAAAGCTACAAGGAAATAAGCACTTTTCATTGTTATAAGGCTGCTGCTACCTTAAATTCTTCTAAGATTCTTTGTGAGGGATGAGAAAACCCCTCAAGGAAACCTGTGTATTTATAGGCATAAGAGTTGAAGTAGTCCGTGGTGTTTTGTCTCTTTCTTCAAGAGGCAGATGTAAGACTTACCAAGTCTTCAATGGTTGTCTAAATTTTCTCCCTATACTTACCTCGGCTTATTACTCTAAATAATTGTATTTTACTTAATCAAAGTTGAAGCAGATTTAGCCATGTATTATTGTCTTTGACACGTTATTGTGAATTAATGTCAATGAGGTGTCTCTAATCTAGAATACCTGGAGATTTTCCTCTTTTTGGTGGAGCCATATTGCTTCAAATTGAATTTAAGGATTTATTCACATTTTTACTGCCTTGCGCTCAGTCTTCGGAATGCTCAGGTATGGTAGGGTGTGTTACAAGATTACCATGAGAAACCTTTAGCCTTTGAGAATATCAATGATAAACCGTGATTAACGAAGTTTTATGGTCCCAAGTTAATGTTATGTTCAAAACAACACCAAAATGTGGCATATAATTTAGTTTATGTGTAATATACTGTATAGTGGAAGTTGTTATTCAAAATTAAGGTTTTTAAGTTACTGATTAATAATTTGACTTAGGTTTTATTAGTAACAAATCTATTTTCACTACAATACTAAAATATGGTTAAAAGTTTTTATTTAATATAAATTCTATTTCCTATAAAAATAAAATTACCTTAGAGTATCATTTTTTCCACACATAAATTATTCTTTGTGGATGGCAATTTAAATTTTTCTAATGTTTTTTTTTTTTTTTTTTTATGCTGGAATGTGTTATATAATAGGAGTGGCTCTCTCCTCTTTCTAAACTCCTTTTCACTTATCAAAATTTAAACTTAAAATCTTCAATATGAATTCTCTAACTTTTAACTACTAAAACATCTCTTAAGACAAAAATGGGGACAAGAGGTGCCACATGAGGACTTTTCCAGAGGTTATCCATCCTAGACTCTTACCCAAACACGTATAATTGCAAAATTCCTGATGGGATTTGGTGCATTAGTGTTAATATGATCGCATTGACTAATGTTTTGATAAACTATTAAATTTGATTTGTTGGTTTTACTAGTGAAAGCATAAAATTTAGGAGTGCTCTGTTTCTAAATTCACATAAATTATCTCTTATTGTTTTATTTTTTTTATTCGACTTCTTATATGCTGTAAGAATTTCATCTATTTATCAATGTTCCTATTGTTATAAAATAAGATGAAAGGTTACATTGGTGGTGAGGTTTTGTTAGAAAGGGAGGTTTTCCTTTAATGCATGTATAATGATGTTCATTTTTATTGTTCTTTTGTCAAAAGAAAACGAAGGCAGAATTCTATTTGGGTTAAAGCCAACAATCGTCCCTCTACTTTGATATTTTGTTCATTACCATCATTTTAATAAGCAAATGTTCATTGCCATCCTTCTACTTCACCTATTGAGTTGATTGTCATCCTTTTACTACTCAAAATAGGTTAAAAGTCATCCTTCATAAGACGTCATTAGTAACTTGTCACTAACGATGTCCATTTTTTTTTTCTTGGTATGGATCACTTGGTGTTTAGAAGTTCACTGGGTTATTGACTAATCCGGATTTGAGCCGGGCAAAACCAAATGGGCAGCGAAGCTCTCTTTCACGAGTTTTAACGAAACTGCATTCTCAGGGCTTAAAATCAAGACTTCTAATTAAGTTGGAAGAATTTCCTACCAACTCATTCACTCGCTCGTGGGGACGCCGCCCATTTTATTGTTATCTTTTAATGGTAACAAATTTAAGAGATTATTTTATTTTTTAAGCAATGGGTGTAGGACCCACTTTAGCCCATGTCAAATTATAATTTATAATCCCTTTCTCTTTTTCCACTCCGGCCCTTCCCATTTGAAATTTCCTCCAATGGTCAACCCATTTTTTGTAGAAACCCTTTCAGCATTTTTTGTTCGTGTCGGGTTCAGTAGGTGGTCTTTATCCTTTAGCTAACAGATCATATGTCCAGGGGAAGTGGAAAGATTCAAAGAATGAAAATGGTCACTTTTTTCTTTTTAACTGTAGCTTTTTGGCTTATGCATTTCGGTTATTGGTTGTATTGAATCTTTTCAGAATTTAAGTATGTTTCAAGTTTTGCATTTGATGCATAATGCGTTAACAATGGTGATTTTGTATAAGGGTTGTAGTATATAGCCTTTAAACTCTTATAAAGAATACACTTTTTTTTTTTGGCTGTTTAAGAAACAAATATACAAAGAAAGATGCCATAAGCCTTACCTCTCATTTTGGTTTTTTTACATAACTTTATACTTGTGTTAGTAGTCAAAGTCAATCTCAAAAGAATTTAAAAGAACTTTATAATTTTATACATTCTTAGAAACAAAATAGAGACAAAAATATCAAATACAAAAGATTATACAAAAGACACCAATTTGTAAAATAAAAAAACAAAAACCATAAAGGTTCTCATCAAAATAAATAAATAAAATCATAAAGGCCTTTTTATTTTTGCTTTCTTAGGTTAGCAATTTAGCATTGCATTCCTTTTTATTTATTTCTTCTTTCATACAAGTATAACATTCCATTTAATGACATTAAAATTAAAAATGAAAAAGATACCCAAAACAAGTGTAGCATATATCCAAAATGCAAAATCAAAGCATGTGTATCCTTTTATGAAAAGGGAAATCGTATGTACACCCTCCAAATTTACACACGTCATTACATACTGACGATTTCTGTAAGTATGCCATTAAAATTAACGATTTGTGTTACTTGTGTTTTAAAATTGATGATTTTCATTATTTCGATTGTTAAAACTAACAATTTCCATCAATTTTAATGACACACTAATGGACACTGTCAATGTATAACAAAGTGTGTAACTTTTAAAAAGTGTATGTATCAGTGTCCTTCATAAAAATTATGCCTTTCTATTTCTCCTTTCATGTATATCTCATAGGATATTTTTAATTTACGAGTTGTTTTTTCTTATATTTAGATGCCCAATTAATGCATATGGCTACATGTGTGAAGCTTTTGAAAAATGAAAATTAGAGCTAAGAATCATCGAAATAAACCAAAATGAAATTGCTTGTGTCACTAGACTAAAAGGCATGGTCTGTCAAAACAAAAAGAAATTAAAAAGAAGAAGAAGAAGACAACAAATCATATTGAAGAAACAAATTGTATCAAGGTAACAAAAATTACCTATCATGAAACTCACAATATTGTTTGGTAATATCATTTAATAAATTGTATTAAGGTAACAAATTTAGCTATCATGAAACTCGCAATACAGTTCTACATGATAAAATAGTAAGACTTGACAATTTTTTACCCAACCCGCTAATCCGCCCGTTTAAAACGGGTTAGGGTCAGATATTTATGACTCGTGACCCATTAATGACTCGTGTGATGGGTCACGGGTCAATAATAGGTTGACCCATTAGGTTAACGGGTTTGACCCATTTACTTATTTAAAAATTAAAAAATTTTTAATTTATTATTTATTTATTTTGTTTTCCAATTCCCAATCCCACCTAAACCTCTAATAATTGACTAATTTTCCCTAATTAGCTAATTGATTGTCTTAGCAAAAATAGGTGTGTGGTCTTAGCGTTGTTTTTTGAAGGGAAGTAGAGAAGGTGATTTTGAAGAATTGGAAATATGTTTTATTAGCTTAATTGGGGAAAAAAATCTCTTTATAAGATGTTGAATTACATTTTTTAATCTTTTGAATAACTTTCTTTGGATGATAATATGTACAAATTATAGAGAAAAAAAAGGAAAAAAAATTCAATTGACCCGTGACCTGTGGCCTGTGACCCGTGACCTGTGGCTTGTGACCTGTGACCCGTGATGGACGAGTTAGGGTTAGTCTTCATTGACCCGTGACCCGTTTTGACCCGACCCAAACCTAACCCAACCCGCCTATTTGTCAGGTCTAAAACAATCAATATTTAGCTCTTTCAACAAATTTGGAAAATAATCTTTTGAAACACAGCTCCTTTAATATTAATGTTTTTCGTAAATTGGAGAGCAAATGCTTGATGCACTGAATCTTTCGAGAACAATTTTGTCCTTGCTTAGAATTCTTTGTTACAAGTTCAAAATCTTAAAAAATTACTTTCACTGGAAAGTATTCAGCATCATTCTTCTCCAAAACTTTTTTAAACATCCATCGAATAATTGATAATACAAACCACTCTTAGCCCATGCTTTGGTAAAGAGCACACCAATAAAACAATGAAGTTTTACATCCTAAATTCCATTTTTGATGATATGAGCTATGTAAACCCTATTTATTCCCCTTATTCATGGGCATATCATTTCTAGGCAAATAGATTTGAGTTTCTTCACTCATGTTTCCTGTAGTTTTCTTCATAAAATAGAGTACAATTATGGATTTATAATGGTTTTGTTGACCTCTTTATTGTGGTTGAGAATGGTGTGTGCCATAGTTCCGACATAGCTTTCGTCGAAGATATAAAATCCTATCAATATTGGGGGAATCTCTCCAGCAATACGGCCAAAGTGGATCCCATAACAATTGCTTAAAAAATAAAATAATATCTAAAAGTTGTTACTAACAACAAAATTGATGTCATTGGCGACAAATTACTAACACCGTCATACAAAGGATGACATTGAACCTATTTTTTGCTGTAGAGGGATGGCAATGAACTCGATACTTTGAAGTAGAAGGATGACAATGAATAAAATATAAAAGTAGAGAGATGACAATTGGCTTTAACCCAATTTTATTTTATTGGGTGTGAGAGTTCTCTTATAGAACTCACACTTTTATTATTATTATTATTTCTTAAAAAGGTGAAGATGATGTCATTTTTGCCCCCTTTAAAGGCCAAAAATTTTGCAATATATGTCAGGTGCCAGCTTTTTACATCCAATATCATTATCAACTGTTGGATTAAAGGTAAATTCGATGAAATTGAATCTAATTCAATTTATTTTAGGCAGGGTTTTAAGTCTAATAAATTAATTTAGAATCTAATATGATTCAGATCAAAATTATTTAAATTTAACAAGATTAGATTAAGGTTAGATTGGGTCAACTTAAAATAACTCAACTAATATTAATTAATTTTTTTAAATTTAATATGTAATTTTAATTTTAATTTTTAAATTTAAGGTAAAATTAAATATTTTAAAATAATTATTATTTATTAGATTATTAATGTTAATATCAATTTAATAGATTTTTTAAACTAATTGATTAATTAGTATTAAATTTTTTAAAGAAAAATAGAAAAAAATTAAAAAGTTTTAATTTTAATTTTTTAAAAAATTGGATCCACCTAACCCAATTCAAAATTTGTATGGGTTATAGGTTTACTCCTTTAACCCAAATATGAAATGATCTAATCCAAAAAATCTAAAATTTAAAGTGACCCAATTCTATCTCACCCAGTCTAATTTGTTTGTCAATTCTAATCAAAGGCTTTTATTTTTTATTTTAAAAACATTTCAATTAAATGTTTTTATTTGAATATATAAAATATGGTTTAAATAAAATAATATTAAATATGATTAAGTGGAACTAAAATAAATTTTTTCATTATTCCCATTGTACGTGCTCTTATATGGCTATTGACTAGGATTAATTACATTACTATGATAGTGCTCCAAGCCTAGGCACTAGCTCATAGGCAAAAGTATTTATAAACTACTCATCTATGTCATAGTAATTGTCATTTTTTTTTCTTTAAATTAAGGATTCAAGAACCTTTTATATATCTACTTATATTATCTTTTGGAAAAACCTAGAAGATAAGAAAGGCTTTTTGTAATAGGTTAATTAATTAAAATAAATAGATAATGATAGAGTTAAATTAGAAAAAAAATATCTATCTATCTTAAAAAAATAATAATTAATTTGAAAGAAACTCAAAGTTAAAGAATGACAGTTGTTTTGGAATGGAGAGAGTACTAAGATTACATTTGAGTTGTTTTTTCAGAACATTTTTTCTTATAACACCTTATAAAATTATTAATTTATTATAACTGAATAAATTTTTATTGATATTTTGTAAATTTAATGGTCATATTAATGTGTAAGATTTTTTTTTCAAAATAATTATTAAATAATAACATAATCATTTTCATAGTAGAATATTGAAAAAAGTTACAATCACAATATTTTACAACAATTCTAAGTATAACATAACTTTTGAGTAAAAAAACAATTGTTATGTTGAAAAAGAAACAATAATAACAAAACTAGCATGCATGCCCATAAAGCCCAAGATGTGGAACCCCTCTTATAAATCAGATTTAAAGTTCAATGCTTTATGCTTTAGGGTTAACGCCATGTGATGCAAGGTGTTCACCAATAAAGTTGTCTAAAGAAATATTAATAGATTACTTTTAAGATACATAAAAGTTACCCTAAGTACATTATGAACTTAATACCAAAAAAAAAAAAAAAACAAACGCATGCCAATTCCACAACATGATTTGTGCAGTAAAATGGATAATACATTTTTATAAAACGGCATTGTTTGTTTAAGTCTAGAGATTGACAAATTTCTTAGAAGTTTATGCTAAATTTTGATCCCCCCGTTTAATTTTACTATTGGTAATTGTGGTGGATAATACAAATCATAAGAATTTGTAAATTTTTGGAAGTCCAACTATATCAAAAGGCATGTGACAACATTAATACTCCACAACATAATGGAATATGTGAAAGAAGGAATCACGTATTCATCACAATCACAAGAAGTGGAATGCTCAAAGAATTTTAGCAAAAATGTGTCAATTGAAGCATCCATATACTGAACAAAAATTCTACCTTTTAAGTCCAAAACATGATGCATAAAAAAGCTTATAGTGGCAAATGACCAGCTGTAGACCATTTCAAAACTTTTTGGTGTATAAGATATGCCCTTGTGCATAATCAGCATGACTAGAATTGGAGTTTACATGATAATTATGAGAATTGTATTTTTGTTGTTATTTGTGATTGTTCTAATATTACAAACTGTGAAATCCTATTTTCAAGAAGATTACTATTACCCCAGACATTGTCGTTTATAAAGATAATATATGGGAATGGATGGTAAAATGGCTTGCAAGCCATTATGAATAAGCTTTGATAATGAAGACGGTAAGTAGTGACGGCAATGGGTCTCTACGAGGGTAGGGGCCCGTTCCTCCTCCCCATCCTCGTCCTTGTCTATAGTGGGTATGGGAATTCCTATGGGGATTTTTGATAAAGGGCAAAAAATACCCTCCATCCTCATCTCTACAAGAAATGTTAAGTCTCCACAGGTATAAGGATTCCCTATCAAATATTAAAATTATAGAATTTAATATCATTTTTTTTTGTAAATAAATTTTATAACATTATATAAAGAGTAACTCATGGGATATAAAAATAAAAACACGCAGAAGTAAAAAGCCAGCAGAAAATTTCACCAACACCATAAAAAAAGTACTACATAAAGAAATAAAAAAAGAGTAGAAATTTGAAACAAGCAAGTGCATACAATCTAACAAATCCATAAAAAATAGTATAAAGAGAGTAGAAATTTGAAACAAATAAGGTTTTATGTTATTATAAATATATTATAATTTATAAAAATATAAATTTAGGTTGGGTTGGGTAAACATTAATTGAGTTATATATTTTTCTAAATATATTTAAATTTATAAAAATATAAATTTAGGTTAAGTTGGGTAAAAATTAATTGGGTTTTATGTTTTTTAAATAAATTATAATTAATAAAAGTATAAATTTATATTTTTTTATTATATACGAATTCAATGGGACCCATAAAGTGAAAGAAATTCCCCATAAAAGTTTGTGAGAAAAAAATTGCTTCTGTTCCCACCTAGTGAAAAAGAATATTCTCTGTATTTCCATCTCCAGGGAGAGAATTCTCGTGGACCTTCTTGAATTTCGGAGTAAATTGTCACCTCTAACAGTAAGTGACAACAAAATGGAGGATTGTCTCAAATAGAGTAGTTTCAATGGTGACAAGGAGTGGAAAGCCTACTAGAAGTGACTATTATAACTTGATTTTTCATTTAGTTTTTATTTTAAATTTTTTCATGAAAATATAAAAATTAAAATTGTTTAAAAAATTCAAAAAAACAAAAAATTGTAAAAAAATAAAATGAAAAATATATAATAAAAAATTTTAAAAAATTGATTCTTAAATAAAAATGTTTTTTTAAAATTTTTTTTAGTGTTAGAATCCATTTACTAACAATTTTAAAACACATATTTTATACAAAATTTTGACTATTTTTATTTCTCTATTACAAATAGTTAATATTTATCATATTTAAAAAAATAATTATTTTTTAAAAAATAAGATAAAAAATAGACAAATATTAACCATTTAACAAGAAAAGATGAGTAAACAAAATTTATATAAATAATACCAGTGAAAAGTATATGCAAGTGAATTTGTCTCATTCTTTTATTTTTATGACTCAAGATTTTTTTTTTTCTTTTATACAAGGGGCAGTGCTTAGCACTGAATTAGCCATGTCTCAAGATGTATTTGCATGAAAAGAAATGAAATGCAAGGGGCCAAGCGGAAAGATATCAATTATCAAACCGAGAGCAAAATTGGACCAATGCAAGATCCCATTAGTTTTAAATGAAACCCAAATCCATGTCATTAAACCCAAAGCACAAAATTCGCCCGTTTTCCGTACATGGTCCGACCCGGTTCATCCAATTCGTTTCGGCTTCCCCTATCTGTTCACGCTGTCAGAAACCCAAGGGATCGATTCTTCTGCACTTCTGCAGCCGTGCAACCTCTTATTCCCTGCAACCCGATTTTTCCTTCCGGGAGCTATTCTCACTGCCGCCATCTGCCTTCTTTCTCTTCGAGGAGTTCGAGCAGCAGGAAATGGAGGATATCAGGGGCTTTCTCTGGCGAAGTCTCAGATACCGGCAACAGAGTTGCAATCAACGGAAAGGAAATTGCAATCTCAAGAAGTCTAGCTGCCGATTGTGAAGATAAAGACATTGAGCTTTGCTTTGGAGTGAACTTGTAGAGTTTGAGGTTTTCTCGGTAAGTTTTGATATCAGCTCGAGAAAATTTTATGATTGAAATTCTTGATACTATTGAAATTTGAAATGTATATTGAGATGTTATTGGTGATTAACTATTTTTGCTGGATTCTCAGGGTAGAAATAGAATTCCTATGTCTTTTCATAATAAAAAAGAAAGGAATCAGATATGAGTTCATTTTCTGTTTTGCTTGTAAATCTTGAATTCTCACCATTTGGTTCTTTGTTTTCTGCAAGTGATTGTTTAGATTTATATTTGTTAAGTTGGTGAAATTTTGTTTCCTAGTGTTTTGGCAGTAGTGGGTGTGCGCAGGGTATCTGCTGTCTTGTAATTGAAATTGAAATTTGGAATTTCATTTCTTTCAAACATTACAATGAATCTGTTTCTGTCCCCTTTTTTTTTTTTTTTTTTTTTTGTTCAAAGCTCCGTAATCTCTTTTTTACTTTTGAATCACTAAATGGAGTCTAGGGAATTCATAAACACTTGCTTCAAGCTTGATTTATATTTGAACTTTTGCCTGTCCTTTTAAATGTTCAGATTTTGCATAAAAACAAATGGGGAGAACCGCTAATATAAGGATAAAAGGATTTAAAAAAAAAAAAAAATTGAAAAGAATACCTAAAAATATAAGAATAAAAAAACATTAATAAAAGATTTTAACGAAATTATTTGTTTGTTTGAAATGTTTTCTTTGAGTGTCTTTTGCTTGTGTTTTATAGTCGAATTATATGTCCAATTGTACAGTTTGCAACCATGTTTTTTTTACAGGGATTGTGGGGTGCATGTATGCCCTTTCCTATGCCCTGGACTCCAAAACTAGGCTATTTGTCTGATTTTGGTCTACCATAAGTTTGATATATTGTCTCAACCGAACTTGCTTCTACTTTATGTGAATCCAAAACGAACAGCCACTGACTGGAGATTTTTTTTTTTTTTGGGAAATGACAAAGATTTCCATTGCTCAATTGGAGTTCAGTGCAAAGATCACACCAGTATACCTCTCAAAGTTGAAAATAATCAGAGAAATTTTAGTTTAGCTTTTAGCTCTTACCAAAATTTGGTTTTCTGATTCAAATCTACAAGCAGCTTTCTTTTAAATCTTTAAGTTGAAATTTAAATCCAAATCAAGGGGTTTCTGCGTTTGTTTTTAGCAATTTATTGACTTTGGAAGAGTGAAAGTGAGCAGCTGTGGCACTCTGATACTAATCTCTTTGCTTTTGGATATTTTTAAAGGGCATTTGTGGCCGTGACAGAGCAGACAGCTATGGCAAAACTTAGTCTGGGGATCCTTATAGATATTTTTGATGAGGAATGGATGAGGGACACTCTACCCAATGATGGTATTATTTATTTTAAAAGCTGAATGCACATTGCATATATGGGTGTTGACCACTTAAGTGCAAAGTGATTATTATGTAGGCTTGTCCTTCCATGGTATTCATAAGATCTGTCCACGTGTTCTGGTATCCTAGATAGATGCATTTTCTATGCTACCCATATTTATCTATACTATCACAGTATCACTACTAAAGTATGTGGGTTAGGGTTCCATCCCAGTGGTGGTGTCTTAGGAAGGGATAATTGGAAACAGTTCTATTTTTAACATTTTTGGTTGTTTTGCAGTCCTTATGATTTATAGCACTTTTCATGTAGCACTTCCATATTGGTTATCCTGCTTGTGGGGTGAAAGGACACTGATGTTTTAATATTTTGCTCAATTAATACTGATCTTCCTTTGCCACTGGTGCTGGTTACTTGGACTGATGATGCTGAAGACCCATGTATGGCTAACATTTTCTGATTATATTTCTAGAAGAGTAATATTATACTGAAAAAGTATCCATATTTTTCATTGTGTTGATTATCTTTCCTCCAGTCTGTGTTAGATGAAGTAAAAGGTTTTATATGCATGTAAAAAAGTAATGAGAATGTCTTTCAATATTTTGTGATTAAGAATAAGAACTCTGCATGTACCTCCCTATTATGTAACCCTTGTCTTTTCTCCCAATTTTGTCCTTTTATTTTTCTTGTTCTTTTTCTTCTTCATATTTAATTTGGAATTTTCTTAATTTTCAGATCAATAGAATCAACAATTGGATGAAGACACCTGGCAAAATCATGCATTAGGTACTCAGTAAGGCTTCACATTAGCAGTACTCGGGGCCTTGGTAATTGGTATTTAGAGTTGCAAAATTTATAAATTAAAACCAAAAACCAAAAATCACAAACATACAAAACTAAGTCTAAGCATTTAAGTAGTGTCGATTATAATTAAAGAAAAAACCATAAAAATTGGATTAGAGGCAAACCTTGGCAAGCGTAATCACTCTAAGTGGAGGTAAACGCCTAGTTCCACCAAAGGGAATTTATTTAAGCCTATGTTGTAATGCAGTATTTCAAGCATGGGAAACAATTCTTTTTAGTAAGCATACAAGGCTAATATTTAATAAGCAATAGGCGAACTTCTTTATTGTATATATTGAGCTATAAGCAACCTCTTATTACAACCTCTTATTTAGTAGTAAATAAGGTATCATGTGGAATCAGTAATCAAATTGAGGGATAGCACTCCAACACAGTCCAGACAAGCAAGTATTGAAACATGACTAGTTTAAGTCTTTCCTAACTAACTGTTATTTTTTTCCTTTAGAAGTGAGACTGGAGATACTTAATGACATTCTTGTCCAGCATGAAGGCCTTAGTAAGAACATCAGGATCAATGGGTGGATTTGATCCGAAAATAGAATTTGCAATTGTGATTGTGCCTGGATTTTGGCTACTCAAACCAGAAAAGGCAATAGCAGGAGTTTCCCCTATATTGAGCTGGAAGTGAATCAAACCAATAGGGAAAACAAAAACATCTCCTTTGTTCAGCACTTTGGTGAAGAGACGATTACCATCTTGATTAGACGAGACAAAGCCAACAAATAGTGTGCCTCCTTGGACTACTAGAATCTCAGTTCCATGAGGATGAGTGTGGGGAGGATTAAGACCACCATTAGGTGCAAAGTCAATACATGTTAGGGATATGAGAAACCCATGACAGATCAGCATTTGTGTTGGCAAAAGAGGAGAGGTAAAGATAATTTTTTATGGAGTAATTATCTTCTTGAGATAGAAAGGGATAATGGGAGTTGAAAAATAGGAGAAGATTGCAGTTAAAAAGGGGGTTTTATCTGATAAGAGTACAGGTGGCGAAATCTGCAAAGAGATTAGATCAGGTCAAAATGTGAGTTGTTCCACTACTTCAAGAAACTACCCATGATTGAGTAACTGCAGAAAGTGGAAGTTATTGCCGGCACAAAGAGAACAAAAAAGAAATTTTGGAAGAAGAAACAGAAGGCCAGCCTCACTCAAAACATTTGCAAATTTTTAAATTTTATTTTCTCTACAATCTACTTCCAGATTTCAAATTTCAACACAGATTTCAGTAGAATTAGGTTGTTTTTAATCATTTCAGTAGGCAAATTAATTCATGTATTCAGTTCAGCAATTTTCTTTCATGTAATGAACTTCAATCTTTTAAGTTTATACAAGGTATTGTTCTTTTTCCATTTGCAATTAATTTAATGTTTATGATAAGTAGCATTTTATTCAATGATTACTTATGTGGTGTTCATACATCTTTTCAACCCCAAGTATGGTAGTTTAATTACTGTTCACATTAATTTTAATATTAATTAGGATGAAGTCTTTAATTCTGCAGCATTTTAATTTCCAAATCTGTCAGTACATAGCATTTTAATTTAACAATGAACATGTTTAGTTTAATTTGGGCACAGTTTTTTTCTCGTAAATTTACTTTAAATTACAGGTTATTTAGTTCAATTAGGGTTTGTTAATTTTAAGTCACAGTAGTGTTTAAGTTCTTGGAGTTATCCAAGGCAGATTTCATAACCTATTTTGCAAGAAGGTATCCCTCCCTTTTGCAAATCGTCTGAAGGCACAAATTCATTTTAATCCAACGTTCTTCTCGCCATCTGCAAAGAGGTCGACCGTGAGGAAGGAGAGGGTTGTTGGGAAAGTCCTCCTTTCTTACTTTCAGCAAAGTAAGTGGTACGCTCGCATCCAGATTTCACACGTGCGAGGCCACTAAAGGATTTTTGGGGAAACAATTCTTTTTTGGCACGCCCGGTGGGACCCCATCATGTTTTACTTACAGTTTTCAGATCCGTTGTTCTTTTTTCCAAGAAAAGTGCAATTATGCCACCAAAAAGAAACGTTAGGAAGGCTGCCCAGACTTTACAGATTGGGCTTGGTGAAGGCAGTCCGCACACTCAGAAGGAGAGAATGAGCCAATCATGCCACCACCATTGTCACCAATACTTGGGGAGCATTCTTTTCTCAATCCTACCTTCAACAAGGATAGTGAATTTGGAGATGATGTTGCTCAATCTGGTGATTCCCTTGTGAAAGCTGTGTCAGATCAGATTAGCATCATGAGGCACACACTGTTGGAATATGAGGAGAAAGCTCAACAAAGAAGCCAAGAGGTTGCTAGACAGTTGGATGAGTCTTTTCAGAATCTGGCTCAGAATTTGGCCCAAAGTGTAGCTCAAAGTGTGGCCGACATGTGATGCTTCAATGAAGAAAGTGCCAAAATCGGCACGAGTTGGAGAGCTTTCCAAGCTGAAACAGAACGAATATAGGAGGCATTTCGACGTGCCAGAATTGAGCCTCAACCACCACCAACAGATCTTCAAAGGCAGAATCAAAATATTCTAGCTTCAACACTCGGGGGGCAAGGTAATCTGCCACAGCCGCCTCCCCAAATTCAGCAAGTAACAGTCGAACCAGTGCAGCCAGATCCTGTTGAGGCAGCACCACGTGCAGTAGATTTGGGAAATCACCAGCAACCTATATATATGCCACCTCCGCGCCGACCAAATGGAGGACACCCACAACATAATGCAACCCTTTTAAGGGAGCATTTTCAGCCTTATGTGCCACCTATGCAACAGAATCTTCAAGGTATGCCAGGACAATACATCAATCATGATCAAATCATCGACATGGTGTAGGAGGCTTATGGTCCAATTTGGAGGCCTCTAGTCAGACCAGCATACAAAAAGCCATATCTAGATTTCACAGACCAAGAGAATCCTTTTCCAAGGGGGTTCAAAGTTCTAGAATTCACTCTATTTTCTGGAGATGGTGGATATTTTACAATTGAACACATAGGCCGTTTCACAATTCAGTGTGGCGAGGCCTCCGGTGATGATAATCTGAAGCTCAAACTTTTTCCTAGTTTTTTAACTAGTACAGCTCTCATCTGGTATTTGAGTTTGCCACAGAATTCAGTTTATACTTGGAGGCATATGGAAGATCTTTTTCATATCTAGTTTTACCGCAATGAGCCAGAAGTGTCCATGGCAAATTTATCTCGTCTGGTGCAGCGACCTAGAGAAACATCTGAGGCCTTTTTTGCCAGATTTTGGAAGGCCAGATTTAAGTGCAGAGTTGCTCTGCCTGAACAAGAATTTGTCAAGTTGGCACAAAATGGTTTGGACATTGAGTTAAGGAAAAAGTTTGAGGGAATGGAGTTTCGTGATTTCTTTGAGTTGTCTTACAAGATGGCTCGTTATGAAAATTTATTGCGAGAAGACACACAAAGGAAATTTGCATCTCATGGGACTTATTATGGTGATGCTAACTTTGATCTGGACGTGGCAGAAGTGGTGGCAGACAAGCCAGTTGTTTGCCCAAATTTGGTTAAAGTGGCCCAGTAGATAGACAAAACAGTAAAATGTTATGTCGGAGAGGCTGGAAAACAATACACCTTTGACATTTTAAAGACTAATGAAATCTTTGACCACCTTAAAAAGAGTGGTCTAATTAAGTTACCGACAGGGCATAAAATCCCAATGGCTGGCGAAATTGGAAATAGAGAATATTGTAAATGTCACAATTCTTAGAAACATTCCACTAATGATTGTGTGTTTTTTCGAAATGTTTTACAAGATAAAATCGACAAGGGAATTCTGCACTTTCCAGATAATGCCAAAGAAACTATGGGAGTTGATGCAGATCTATTCCCTACCATGTCTGTTGGGATGAATGCAGCAGATCTCAGGATCATTGCCAGGGATAGAACTCAGTCATACTCTAGGTGCAGACATGTAGCTGATGATCTGAGGTGGGTCATTGAGGAGGCAAAGGCTTGCAGAAATTAGGTCAGATCAGGCTCATATCGAAGGAGACAGCCCAGGGGGCATAACCCAATTCAACAGAAAAATAATGCAAATCAGGGAACTGTGATATCTGGACGCGTAGAAAAGCCCAGAATGGTGAAACCACCACTTAGATCTCTAAGCAAACGATGGGAACATGATGTGGTGCATCCAAAATTTCCTAAGGGTCAAAATCCAAGGACCTTGAGGAGGCGCTTACAACGTTAAAGGGCAGCAGAAAGACACCGACAACAGATTATAGACTCGGGGGGCATGGCAGATCAGGCTTAGCCGCTCCTAGCAAGGAGAAAATCAGTGTGGGTTCGTAAAGAAAGAAGGAGCACATCTAGTCGAAATTCTCCAAAAAAGGAGGAACCACCCAGAAGTCCAACATCATCTTGAGTTCTGGCTGTGGAATCAAATGAAGAAATCGGTTTGAAGGTGAAATTTGATATGTCAAATGAAGCGAAAAATTCATCAGACATAATTCATTTTGGTGAGTTTTCCATGAATCTATCTTGCTTGGTAATCACCTTTCCTTTGGTCTTTCAAGTAAGAGAGCAGTCGAAATCTGTAGTCTGTCATCAGACAAATTTGACTGAGGAAGAAGAAGTCATTCAGATCCCAGCTAAGGAAGATGGTGGTATGGATTCAGTAGATAAAATCATTTTCGAAAAACCAAAAAAGAGGATGGCCAGACATGTCAGGCCATTATACAATCACGCACATCTGGATAGCATGCCAATAAGCCGAGTTCTTGTTGATAATGGAGTAGCTGTCAATGTTTTGCCAACTTATATTCCGCACAAAATTGGCAAATCTTTAGGTGATTTAATGGAGACAGAAGTAACAATCAGTGACTTTATTGGTGGAGTAAATCGCTCAAGGGGAATTCTGCCAGAAGAACTTACCGTTGGAAATAGAACTCTCATGTGTGCATTCTTTGTGGTTGACACCATTGCCACTTATAATGCATTGCTTGGGAGAGATTGGATACATTCCAACTGGTGTGTTCCTTCAAATCTGCATCAAAAATTGATATTCTAGAATGGTGGCAGAACTGAAGTCGTAATAGCAGATGACAAGCCGTTTGTGGCAAATACCAATGCAGTGAAAGCTCGTTATTATGATGAAGATATTGGGACTATCTGTTTCTTTGGAATGGACCGCTATGGCAGACCTTTTGGAATTACTGCTTGCATCAGATCTGCAATGGACAAATAGATTGTAAAGGAGGTGTGTGATGAACTACTTCGGCCTACAGCAATTGTTCCTTTTAGGCCGAGGGAGGAACCTAAAATCAAAGAAATTCCATGAAGAAGGATCGAATTAAGCACCAGAAAAAGGAGGCCGTGGAAGAAATCAAGAGAAAATTAACGACTTACTTTGCAGAAAAACGAATCTGTGTAGACAGATCTGAGGTAGTCTATGAAGGAGAAAAGGATGACTCAAAGGATCAAATAACACTAGAGGAATTAGATCTGGCACCAGCAAAACTTGATGATCTGAAGGCAAAAGTACAAGATCCCTTGGAAGAGGTAAATCTGGGTACTGAGGCAGATCCAAAAATTACTTTTGTTAGCGGTTCTCTTGAGCCGTGTTTGCATGATAAAATTATTAACATTTTGCGTGAATACAAGGATTGTTTTGCTTGGGATTATTCTAAAATGCCAGGTCTGAATAGAAATTTGGTGAAGTATAGATTACCCATTAGAGAAGACTTTAAACCTTTCAAACAGCCGCCCAGACGAATGTCTCCAGAAGTCACTTTGGAGGTTAAAGAAGAGAGAGAGCGGCTGTTGAAGGTTAGTTTCATCAGAACTTCCAGACATGTGGAATGGTTATCTAATGTGGTTCTTGTGGTCAAAAAGAATGGCAAGCTGAGAATCTGTGTAGACTTCAGAAATCTGAATCTGGCAACATTAAAAGATGAATATCCTATGCCTATTGCAGATTTATTGATTGGTGGATGGTGCAGAACGCCACCGAATTCTGTCATTCATGGATGGCCACAGTGGATATAACCAGATTTTTATAACAAAAGATGACATCCCAAATACCGTTTTCCGCTGCCCAGTAGCTATTAGTACGTATGAATGGGTGGTAATGCCATTTGGTTTAAAAAATGCAAGCGCAACGTATTAAAGAGCCATGAATGCCATCTTTCATGACATGATTGGTTGTTTTATGGAAATTTATATTGATGATGTGGTTGTGAAGTTTAGTGAGGTTGAGGAGCATTTAGGGCATTTAAAGCTGGCTTTTGAAAGAATGAGGAAGCATGATCTGAAGATGAATCCTTTAAAATGTGCATTTGGTGTTTCTGCTGGAAATTTTCTGGTATATCTGGTGCATGAGCGACGTCTGAAAGTCGATCAGAACAAGGCAAGAGCTGTTATTGAAGCACAACCGCTAAGAAGTAAGAAAGAATTACAAAGATGTCTTGGGCAAGTAAATTTTCTGAGACGTTTTATTTCAAATCTAGCAAGAAAGACAAGAGTTTTTTCGCCACTGCTGAAGTTGAAATCAGAAGTAGATTTCAAATGGGAAAGACACCATCAGACCGCCTTTAAGGAAATAAAGCATTATTTATCAAAGTCGCCAGTCTTAGTGCCTCATTTAAAAGGCAAACCTTTAATTTTGTACATATCTATCGCAAATGAATATGTAGGTTGTCTGCTGCCTCAAGAAAATAGTAAAAAGCAAGAACAAACTATTTATCATTTGAGTCGAAGTTTGTCACAGATCGAAGTGAAATATTCTTCGGTCGAGAAATTATGTCTTACTTTGTTTTTTGCTGCAATAAAATTGAGGCATTATTTGCTTTATTCCGAGGTTTATGTTATTTCAAAAACAAATGTGATAAAGTATATGTTGTGTCGACCATTGTTGAGAGGCAAAATTGGAAAATGGGTTTTGGCTTTGTCAGAATTCAACCTGAAGTACGTGTCTCAAAAAGCTGTCAAGGGGTAAGCATTGGCAGATTTCCTAGCAGATCATCCGTGCTTGGAGGAAGCAGATGAGGAAAAAGGTATTAATTTATTTTCCATAAGTCTGGTTCCTTGGAAGCTTATCTTTGTGGAAGCTTATCTTTGACGGATTTAGCACAGATTCCATGTCTGGAGCAAAAATTGTTATTATTTCTCCAGCTGGTTTGAAAACCCAAGTGTCATTTCAGCTAGATTTCAATTGCACCAACAACCAAGCTAAATATGAGGCATTGATTATTGGGTTGGAAGTGTTGGTAGAACTTAAGGTACCCATGGTAGAAATAATTGGTGACTCACAATTAGTTTTAAAGCAATTAGAAAGTGAGTACAAGTGCACTAGTTTGTATTTAGCACCTTATTTTGCTTTGGCAGTACAGCTCTTAGACGAATTTGATGATGTAATCTTGAGGCATGTTACCCTAGATCTTAACACAATCAGGCTTAAAAATCCAGAAGGCGTGATGAGTAGAATTGTTGTTGTGGAAAAGCGAATTCTGCCATCTATTCACATGCGTGGTATGGCAATTTCTGCTTCTTCCATAGATGTAACCCAGATAGATTAGCGCTATCTAATCATGGAATACATAAAAAATCCAAATTTTAAGGCCTTAAGAAGAACAAAAATGCAGGCCTTGAATTATGTTATGTTGGAAGATGTTCTTTATAGAAGAGGACATGATGAATTACTTCTGCGTTGTCTTGGTCTAGATGAGTACTGCCAGATTATGTCAGATGTGCAAAACGGAATTTGTGGTGCGCACCAAGCTGGAATTAAGATGAGATGACTAATTCGCAGACATGGATTCTTTTGGCCATCAATCTTGAAAGATTGCATCAGCTATGCTAAAGGTTGCAAAGCCTGCCAAATTCATGGACCACTACAAAAAGTCCCAGCTTCAGAACTCCATTGAATCGTCAAACCATGGCCATTTCGAGGATGGGCCATAGATTTGATCGGTAAAGTTTATCCTCCTTCCACTAGAGGGCACTCTTTTATTATTGTTGCCATAGATTACTTTACCAAGTGGCTAGAAGCAAAGCCAATGAAGAAGGTCGACTAGACCGATATTATTAAATTTCTTAAGGAAGAAATCATTCACAGATTCGGTTTGCCAGAAACAGTGACTTCAAATCAGGGGACAGTTTTTGTTGGTGCACAAGTTGAGGCGTTTGCAAAAGAAATGAGATTTAGGTTACTCACTTCAACCCCTCATTATGCTCAAGCCAATGGTCAAGCTGAAGCTTCCAACAAAATTGTGATAAATCTGCTTGAAAAAATGGTTTATGATAATCCAAGGCGTTGGCATGAGCTGTTATTTGACACAATCTGAGCTTACAGAACTTCACAAAGGAGTTCTACCAAGGTAACTCCATTCTCTTTAACTTATGGACATGATGCTGTTCTGCCCATGGAGTTGTCTGCTAGATCATTGCGTATAGCAATTCAACATAGTCTCACTTCTGGAGAATATAATGAAGCAATGATTCTAGAGTTAGAAGACCTTGAAGGTATGCGATTGACGGCCTTAGATAGGCTCCAAACGCAAAAATTAAAAGTGGCTCGAGCATACAACAAATGGGTGAAATCCAGAAGTCTGGTAGAAGGAGATTTGGTATGGAAAGTAATTCTGCCACCTGGAAAGAAAGACCCCAGATTTAGGAAATGGTCTCCAAATTGGGAAGAACCATTTCGTATACATGAAGTGCTTAGAGGAGGAGCATATTGACTTGAATCATTAAATGAAGAGTTACATCCTCGAAGAATAAATGAAATCTACCTTAAGCCTTACTATCCTATGATATGGGAGGCTAGGGGTTCGAATACCATTAATTCTATTTGAGACAGATTTAAGGTAGGATTTGTACAATATTTTATTTCATTGTTTAGCATTTTATCATTCAATAAAAGTGCTGAGCCAAATCTGCAAGTAGGCCAAATCTAGTTGTAAACAACTAGAGAATCCAAAGCGGCCAGATTTCGACCATGTCAAATTTCAACCTGTAACAGAGTATGAACAAAAAGTACAAGAAGCAAATTTCCAGAATATGAGCCAAGAAAAAGATTAACATTGAAAAGGTAGGTTGCGTGGCCAATAGGCCGCAAACAATAAGTTCAAACATGACAATGTACAATTTCAGCCAACAAAGAGAAAAGGATATACATAAAAGAAAAATCAACAAAGGTTGTCTTGCCAAGTACTCCATTCTTCTCTCATGTTCTTGATTTCTTCAGCGGCTTGATCTGCAGAAGTTGTGAAAGAAGGTAGCTGATCCTTGATCTTAGAAGCAGATTTTAAACCAACTTGTATGTCTCCGCGGAGCTTGTTTCTTTGTTCTGCCAAACTCTTCTCAGTTTGCTCCACAAGAGGAACCTAGTTTCTTAACTCTGAAAGCTTGGCTTCAAGGTTAGAAATTTCTTCTTTAAGCTCTTGGAGACGTTTAACTTGTGTGACATGAGCAACTTTCGCTGCCAAGAATTCTTCCTTCTTCTTAAAGACAGCGGCAGTGCCATCTGCTACAGACTTCCTGACAGATTCTACAGCTACTACCTTGCTCTTAAGTGCCAGGAATTTCTTGCTGAAATCTGCATAAATGATAGAGAAATCTGCCCAAAATTTGTGTTTGGCAAAAGACAGATGTGGAGCTCGGCTAAGAATTTGAGCCACTTCAAAAGCAGCTGGTTGATCGGCTATCCTGCAAAAGTGAGAAGGATCATCAACAAACTCCTGCAAGGTTAAAATGGTGAAGTTAATCTGCTCTTGGGAAGGGGGATCAATATCCAGATTTGTCTCCTTAGCAACAGATTTCCCTTTGCTATCCGAGGCAGATTTCGATTTGACACATGGGTCCATCAACATGTTTAACCTAGCAAGAAGCTCGTCCTCCAAGTCATTATCAACTACAGAAACATCAACAGCAAAATTCTACACAAACAGCAAAATTCTACACAAATTTGAAAGCAAAAGTCCAAAATTATCAACTGCAAGATACAGTGCCAGAATCCAAAATCCACACAGATTTAGAACAGTAAAACAACCTCAGAGTCATCAACATCAACCTGCCTAACGGGAGAAGCCACAGATGTAGGAACACTCTCTTTTTCTGGGCTTAGATCCATAAGTTCATTCGGTCTAACTGTTTTAAAGCTTTTATTAGCTATGCACAAAGAGATTCTAGAACCCCTAACCTTTGTGGCTGGAGAAGAACCGTTGCTAGATTTCGTAGGGATGGTGGTAGAATCACCTTCATCACTTGCAGTAATTTTTTTCTTCAACTTGGTCTGGCTTGGGAGAAACATCTTCTGTTTTGTTAGAAGGAATCTGGGTTTCCGTGGCAAAAGTGGATTCTGATGAGGAGGTAGATTTGATGAGCTTCTTGGCAGCTGTAGGTTTCACTGTTGACCTTTTGATTCCTAAAAGAAAAAAAAAAAAAAGGAAAGAAAAGAAGGTTAGCAGAGAGTATTTCACTAAGTTGCAAGCCAAAGCAGATTTACCTCCAGTTCTTTGCTGCTTGGAGGGGGTATACTCCTCTGAAGAATCAGTTGAAATGGTAACCTTCCTCTTGGTTTGAATTCTAGTAGTACTCCTTGGCAGATTTGGTTTTTTAGGATGGATGGTCAAGGTAGATTCCAGATTACCACTTTCCTCTACAACACCTTTTCTTCAGATTTCTTAGTGAGTGGCAAAGGGACTAGAGCAGAGATGTTATCTAAAACTCCGAGAAACCAAGGCTGAAAGCATCCTTGCCACCAAGTTTTATAAGAGGAAGTGCAGCTTGGTTGGAATGGAGGGTTTGGTAGAATCATGGTTTGTAACATCTGGTTATTTTGGCAAGAGTGGAGATTAAGGTACTGATTCTCCTATCACAAACCAGATGGGTAGCTGTGGTTGAAAGAAAACAATGACGAGAATGGAATGTCTTGGCAGTATCCAAGCTCCTGACAGAATTGGTTTGGTGCATATAATTCCATCCCACATCTGGAATTGAGAACTGTCAAATTGCAACCCACAAACAAATCCCTCGAAGTCACACAGACCAACCAGAATGCTCTAAAATCTGGAGATTGGAAATCGTCCTTGTACCATGAAGGGCCGTGAGATTTGTTGAGGAAGATAGTGAAATTTGCATCAGGTCGGTTGATTGGAAGGAAAGCAAAAAACCTGAAACACTCTTCAAAACTTTTCTTGTTCTCCGCGGCATCTCTGAACATGAAGCCGTAAGTAAGCAAATCCCGACTTGGAATAGCAGATAAAACAGGGGCAAGAACTGGAAAATAGGAATAAAGCCACAACTGCAACACCCAAAGTGGCCCACCACTACTACCTAGAGGGTAGGCCATGACATCTTGGCAGCTTCTATACAGATAAGCAAGCAAAAAGGGACCCAAAGCAAAACGCGGCTAATGGAATAAATTCTTTAGTGGGACCCTTTCCAGCAGAACAAACCATGTACTTACAGATTAAAACAAGCAGAAATGACATGTGTTTCTGAGCGCTCACAGGCTTACTTTTGTCACAAGCAATCTCACCAAGGCCGGATAAGAAGGCTTCATGTCTGTGGAGTTGTACTCAACACCTGGTGGCAATGTGAGAAGTGCTGAAATTTCCTCTTCCGTGCGACGTAACCCGGTCAATGAACTGATGTCAAAAAGGCTCATAGACATGGCACCACAAGGGAAATGAAAGTAGCTAAAAGAGCCTGACCAAAATAACAAAGCCGAACTCAAGATCGGCTTATCCATGGTAAATCTGCATGTGGTTAATTGTATAAATTCAAATAGACCCACATCCCTCCAGATCTGGCCAAAGGTGGGTTGAAGACGATTCACCCAATCAACCCATTCCGATCTCCTCCAAGCCGGCCAAGTCCCAAAATGCAACCCATTTGCTCCAATCTGGTTTCACTTGGAAAGGGAGGAGATGTTCTTTCGGCTGTGGGTAAAGGAATTTGAGTGAAAGGGGTGGAGGAGAAATGAAATATGGACCCAAAAATTTGAAAGTTCATGTGGGGAACAAACATTTGATCTGAATGGCTTGTTTTATGGTGTTGAAGAATTTGTTTGATTTCATTTTGGAGGTCTTTGGTTTGGAAGAGGCTCACTAGATCTGCAGGAGGCGACTTTTTAGGATGAAAAGACTTGGTTCCAGCCATGGCAGCAACAGATTCGGCGTGTGAAGGCTGTTCTTGTGGGTCGTTGGCCATGAATGGAGCAGATCTGGGTGAAAAAAAGCGAAGGGGAAAAAAGCCGGCAATGACTGGAGGAAGAAGAAGAAGAAGATAAAAAAGAGGTTTTGACTTTTGATTTTCAAAAAGCCCTCATTTTTAGGGATTTTTGGAAGTTTAAAAGTTAAAAGAGATGTAAAAAAGGAGGAAGCTATCTGGTGAACAAAAAAAAAAAAGAAAAAAAAGAAGGAAAGGCAGTCGGCGGTGATGTTGGCCCGTGGAAGATGAAAAAAAAATGAAAAGTAAGTTTGACCCTTCCTTGCCTTTTGGATTTTGAGAAGTAAAAAAAAAAAAAAAAGAGTAAGAAAAAGGGAGACAGTCGGCAATGACCCAAGGAACAGTAAATGAAAAGTAAGTTTGACTTTTCCTTACCTTTTTGGATTTGAAAGTTAAATGAATTTTGAAAAGGAGTGGCTGGGGTTGATTTAGAAAATTGGTGCAGGAGATATTTTAGGAATTGCTTTTAAAGGGAATTTGACATGTGGCATAAGTAATTATAGTGTGAAAGACAATTTATTTAATTAAAACACTTGAATTTATCTTTATAAACCCAAGTGTTGGGGGGCTTGTTTAGATCATAAATTGCAAAATTTTAAATTGATGTCACATGTAAAATATTTTTTATTAGTTGGAGAAGATTGAGCCATACCAAATTTAGATTATGAGCCCCATGACAGATCAACATTTGTGTTGGTAAAAGAGAACAGGTAAAGATAATTTTTTATGAAGTAATTATCTTCTTAAGACAGAAAGGGATAATGGGAGCTGAAAAATAGGAGAATATTGCAGTTAAAAAGGGGGTTTTATTTGATAAGAGTACAGGTGGCGAAATGTGCAAGGAGATTAGACCAAGTCAAAATGTGAGTCGTCCCACTACTTTAAGAAACCACCCATGATTGAGTAACTGCAGAAAGTGGAAGTTACTGCAGGCACAAGGAGAACAAAAAGAAAATTTTGGAAGAAGAAACAAACGGCCAGCCCTACTTAAACATCTGCAAATTTTCAGACTTTATTTTCTCTGCAATCTACTTCCAGATTTCGAATTTCAGCACAGATTCCAGTAGAATTAGGTTGTTTTTCATCATTCTAATAGGTAAATTAATTCATGTATTCAGTTCAGCAATTTCCTTTCATGCAATGAACTTCAATATTTCAAGTTTATGCAAGGTATTGTTCTCTTTCCATTTGCAATTATTTTAATGTTTATGATAAGTAGCATTTTATTCAATAATTACTTATGTGGTGTTCATACCTCTTTTCAACCTCAAGTATGGTAGTTTAATTACTGTTAATGTTAATTTTAATGTTAATTAGGATGAAGTCTTTAATTCTGCAACATTTTAATTTCCAAATCTGCCAGTACATAGCATTTTAATTTAATAATGAACATGTTTAGTTTAATTTGGATACAGTTTTTTTTCACAAATTTACTTTAAATTGCAGGTTATTTAGTTTAATTAGGATTTGTTAATTTTAAGTCATAGTAGTGTTTAAGTCCTTCGAGTTGTCAAAAGCAGATTTCGTAACCCATTCTGCAGGAAGGTATCCCTCCCTCTTGCAAATCGTCTGAAGGCACAAACTTCATTTTAATCCAACGTTTTTCCTGCCATCTACAAAGAGGTCGACCGTGAGGAAGGAGAGGGTTGTTGGGAAAGTCCTCCTTTCTTCCTTTCAGCAAAGTAAGTGGCACGCCCGCATCTAGATTTCACATGTGCGAGGCCACTAGAGAATTTTTGGGAAAACAGTAGCCATATTGCTTCAAATTGAATTAAAGGTTTTGTTCACATTTTTCCTGTCTTGCACTTAGTCATAGGAATGCTCAAGTATATATGGTACGTGTGTTAAAGGTTATTGCAAGAAATCTTTAGCCTTTAAGAATATCAGTGATAAATTATGATTAATGAAATTATATGGTCCTAAGTTAATGTATGTTTAAAATAACACTAAAATGTGGCATACATTTTAGTTTATGTACGTGTAATATATTGTAGAATGGAAGTTAACAACTTATTCAAAATCAAAGTTTTTAAATTAGTGATTAACAATTCAGTTTAAGTTTTACTAGTAGCAAATTAGGGATGCAACATGAGAACTTCTCAAGAGGTCACCCATTCTAAACTCCTGCCAAACATGTTTAATAGCAAAGTTTCTAATGTGACCAGATGCATTAGTATTGGTATGATCACACCTATATAATGTTTTGGTAAACTATTAAATTTGATTTGTTGTTTGAAGTAGGAATGAAAGCATAAAATTTAGGGATGAATGCTCTGTTTTTTAAATTTAGGAAAATTATCTTTTATTGTTTTATCATTTTTATTCGACTTATATACTGCAAGAATTTCTACTATTAATCAATGTTCTTATTGTTCTAAAATAAGATGAAGATTACATTGGTCGTGAGAATTTGTTATTAAATCTCCAATAAAGTCTAGTTTACAAGATCATGATTTATTTCTAAAATCTATATCAATCTTGAAATGGCTAGCCTTCTAACTCGTCACTTCCTGTGGTTTCCCCGTCCTCTGTTTCGCTTCTTGAAATGGTGGACAAGGAAAACTATGAGATAAACTCAGTAAGTAAATATGGAGTGCCCCATATTAAACTTATAGCATGCCAACATGTACAATTACAAAAAACGGATACAGTATGGGAACGAAATAGACGTCTCCTCTATAGGTCATGGCCAGTGTTATAAACCTCCCACTGGCAGGCTACACTTGAATGAACCGGTTCTATCAATAACATGTCGACATGTGCTAGCGTTTAACCCCCACTAATAGGATCATTAATAACATAACCACATCGGAGACAAAACAGACAGAAGTTAACAGAAAAATCATAATTCACCAATCACTTTCAAATCATCAGGACAATCAATTAAATTTCAAGTAGGCATGCTCAATTTAATGAAAAGTATAAAAATTTCACTTCAAATCAATCATACTTGTGTAAAACGGGTTTAGTCCCCCCACCACTTCAAAAACAAATCAAAACATGCTTTTAAAAACTGTATGGGCATTACCATAAATTTACTTACCTCACTTGTATAAAACCGAAGACTCAATCTCAGTGCTAATTGACAGAACGATCGGGAACCTAATCAAAATATACAAGAATTAATTCTATACTATCACAAATTCAAGGTGAAACTTCATTAGGACTATCCCTAATCACAATGCTATTCCTATCAATCTCCACATTTGTTCTTATATTACAAACTAATCATTTAAATCCCCGTTAATTGTTGGCCAGTAGGGCGTGAACAGTACTCGTGAACAGTAACTGATATTTCCATAATTGGCCAAAACACTAGCTAATTCACGGGATTTTCCCCAAAAATCACACAGCAGTCATTTAACACTCAATCATATAAATTCCACTTGAATTAATGCTTAAACTTTGTCCTAAAGCTACCGGAATTCATCCCCAATTTTCAGCCAAATTCGGTCATCACAGGGGCAGCCACTACATGGACAATTCAACAACTAATGGATGATTTTAGGCTCAAAGGGGGCATGTCACATACCAAAAATTCCAGCTGCAGAACCGGACCTGGCAGGGGGAAGAGGCCGGCGGCAAGTGCAGGAGAAATTCAAGGGAAATCTACCGGAAATTGGAGAACCAAGAGAAATTAAGGCAAACCCAACTTAAATCAAAGCTAACGGATGAAATCATGGCTGTTCCTTACCTAAAAATGCCCAGAATTCGCATCCACCCAATGAAGAGCAACAGACGGACAGAGCAGAGGAAGGCAGATCCGGAAGCTTTCCTGCAGGGGGGAAAGATTTCAAGGCTCCAACCTTGTTCTTGAGCAAGAAAAGAAGGATAAAATCAAGCTCTCTACCGGTTTCCTCAAGCCATGGCTGGGTTCCCTTTTTTTTTTTCTTCTTTCGGGTGGGCTGCAACGGGGAGAAGAAGAAGAAGAGCAGAATCGGGCTGAGAAGAAAGAGGAAAAGGAGAAAAGAAATAAGCCATTCTTATCCAAATGTTTTTCACTTTTAAGCCCCTCAACTTTGGATATTTTGGCTATTAAGCCCAAAACAATATTTTCCTCACAAGTTAGTCCCTAACTCACTTATTTATTCTAGAAAATTTTGGGGTATCATATCCACCCCTCCTAAAAAGAAGTTTTGTCTCCAAAACTCAAATTGAGGATCATTTCAAGTGGTGAATGGCTTCACCCAATCCAAGACAAAACAAATGCCTCACCAGCTCTATATAAATTATCCTCCAATTCTTAATTTGAAAAAATAAAAACAAAAGTTATTTTGAGAAAGAGATAACACAAATAAAATTAATTTTCTAAACTAAATAAAAAAAGAAATGATAGAATTTTATCCTAATAATGACAATGATAAATTTTTTTAGTTGTTAATGAATATTAAAACATATAAATTTATTTAAAAAATTAAAAAAAGGGGAAAAAATCTCGTTGAAAAAGTAGAATGATTTGAATATAAAACTTAATTGAAAATTTTGTGAAGTTTTTGGGGTTAGAGTATAATTTTTTAGAACTACATGTGCCATATAATTGGTGTCATGTAAGCATGCCATGAGATTCGGTTAAAAAAGCTAACAATAGTTTTTTAAGTAGATGAATTTGAAATGATTTTCAAAATTTATAGATGATTTTAAAAAAAACTAAACTTTCTAGACTAAAATGAAAAGAATGTAATAGTTAGTAGATAAAAAATATTAAATTTAACCAAATAAAGTGTAATAGAGAAAGTGCATCTGATTGAGATAACTAATTAATCAAACAATTGGTCTGCATAATAAAAAGAAATTCTATTCTATAAATCATTATCCAAAATTTCAAAATATTCAAAATTTCTCATTTATTTCCCAATTATACCACTATCAGATACTAAATTATGATTTAAATACAAATAAATTCTAATCGTAAAAAAAAATGTAATTGTTTTTTGACAATAAATTAAATATGAAAACTACCAAAACTAAAACATATATTAAACATATTAAAATTTTCTTTCAAAATCTTAGGGGGGCGTTGACCCCTCAGCCCCAATGAAGCTCTATCCTTTCATGTTCTTTATTCTACTAGAAAATTTTCAATTTCATGGACTTGCATTAATTTGTGAATTGGATTTAATAAAATCTGATGTCTTATTCTAGTTCAACATATCAAGATGCACTTGAAATCTCAATTATTGTGTGGGCTTAAAACACCTAATGAAGAATAATGTAGAGATAATTAGTGTAATTCAAACTTAATAGGCTATTAATGGGAGGAACATATATATAAATAAGTTTTTATAGGGGCAAATAGTTATGTTTAAGTATTACTTCCTCGAAGATTCGTCACTTTTTGAGGTTTTACTCTTACATAAATTAAGAATTCGGTAATAATTTGTATTAGCTTAAAAAAACAATTGGTGATAAGGTAAATAATTAAAATTAAGGAATAATAGAATTAAAGTAGGTAAAAATATTTATTTACTATTTTATTTGTGCTAAATTGTTGTTTTTTTTATTTTTTTTCTTTAAATGAAAGATTTTAAGATTATTTATATATTTATTTATATCACTTTTATAGAAAATCTAAAAAATAAAGTAAAGCTTTTTGTGATATGTTAATTATTAAAATAAATAATATAGATATGGTTAAATTAAAAAAATATTCATCGACATTAAAAAAATAAAAAGATGACAATTTGAAATTTCACACATATAATAACATTACTTTTTAAATTTTTTTTTAATTAAAGGTATTACCTTTTTTTATAGTAATTAAGATTATCTTTTTTCAAAAATTTTTAACCAAAAATAATATTACCTTTTCTAATTTTACTATTTAAAAACTAATTAGATGTTAACGCTGAATTGGCTAACAGATTCCTTTAGTGGGACCCATTAAATTATTGACATGTTTAAAATATTATAGGTGACTGTTGACTTGGAGCTAATTTGGACAATGAAGCATAAGTGTTGACACCAAAAAAGGTGGTGTCAGCAACCAACACATGTTGAAAGATCTTTTTACCTTGAGTTCTTTTTAACAAAAAATGAAAAGTATATAAAATCAATAAAAAATCATAACTATGGTGCTGAACTTGTAGACTCATAACTTGTCATGCCTTAGAACCGGGACTGAAACAGATGCCATACACATGTGAGAAGATCCTACAAATGCATAAAACTCAAACCTACTTAATTCATAACTAAGATCAATATCTTAAAATAAAATTTGACTTTCAAGAATCAAAGCTTTGCTAGGCCAAGAGTATACAAAAACTTATACTAGTCCATCAATATAGTCATTACTATCTCCAAGGGGAAATCTAGTCTACAAAAGAATGGTCTATGGTCCAAAGGCTATGTCAATTTTTATTTTTTTTTGTTTAGCGACCTAACTCCAAAAGACAAGGGGCTAGCTTTCTAGCTCATCACTGCCCTTGGTTTCCTCCATCTTAGGTCTTACTATCTAAAATGGTGGATAAGGAAAAATCATGAGATATCTTAGGAAGTAAAAGATGGGTAACCCTTATTTAAAGTTAAAGTATACCAACAATGTAATAAAGTATCAAGATAAAACTAGTACAAGTATGGGAATGAAATAGATGTCTCCTGTATAAGACATGACCAGTGTTTATAAACCTCCCATTAGCGAGCACAGAAATTGCTAGTGTATAATCCCACTAGTAGGATAACAAGTATAACATGAACCGATTCCACAATTAACATGTCGACATGTACTAGTGCTTATAAACCTCCCACTAGTGGGCACAGTAAAACATGACCATATTGGAGACAAAACCGAGTAGGAGTTAACAAGAAAACCATAACTTACAATTAACTTCTAGATCATCCGGGCAATCAAGTAAACTCCAAGTGGGCATGCTCAACTCAATAAAAATGATAATAATTTCATTTCAAACCAATCATGCTGGTGTTTGTGTAAAACGGGTTTAGTCCCACCACCATCTCAAAAACCATCCGAAATATGCTTTCAAAAACCTTTACCTTAAAATCCAATGGCATTACCATACTTTTACTTACCTCATCTTGTAGCTATACAACAAGCAAGAATTTCAAGGTTTCAAGGTTTCAAGGAGATGAAGGTGACTTAGAACCTATGCCACATCAAAGAATAAACAAGATTACAAAATACCTTATTTAACTAAATTGGCTTCTAATATCAATATCAAGTTTCTATCCAAAGAAACAATTTCTTCCTATATATCCTTACTATTTCTACCCATTGACCTCTTATTAACATATTAATATATTTGACCATACCTAGAGTATGTTTAAAACATCACCAAAAGTCACACGCAACAACAATTATTTCTAGGCAAAACAACAGCAAAATAACAGAATTTTATGGGAAAAAACAATAGCAATTTATGGGCAAAACAACAAATTTTTTTGGGCATTATCAGTAGCCAAAAAACACCAAAATTCTGGGCAAACAGAGTAGAAAATAACAAGTAATTAAATAAAATTCTGGGCTGAGCTAAGGTCTTTAGGAGCATGATTTTTGTCAAAATCGCAAGAACCCAAAACTGATTTTTTTTTTCTTTTGTAGCTTAAAAGCAAGGCAACAATGTAGTCTTTTAAACAACAAAAACTTATAACTAATCAAGAGGAAAACAAGCTGGGATTGAGGCAAACATCACAAAATTAGTAAAGCAGAAACCCTGTACCCAATGCAAAATTTACAACCAAAATGAAGTAAAAGTAGTTAACAACAGAACTTGTGAAGAAACAGGACATGACAGCAGTAAGAACAGTGCAAAAAGTTTAGCACCATACCAGCAAACTAGGGCAAAGTGGCTACAAAAATTGGAAGCCTCAAGCAGATTTTTGGAAGGAATTTCAAATAGTATACTACCCAGATCTAATCAACAAAACTAAGGATGAAATCAAAGCTTGAAGGATAAATTATGGCTGTTTTTCTTACTGGAAGATGCTAAGAATGGCGACCTCTTACGCCGCTCTAGTTACCCAACACGGACCAAGAATTCGGGAGAAGGCAACAGTAGTAAGATCTGGATTGATCATGGTTTTAGAGTCATAAGCCTACAAATCCCTAAATCAAACTTGGGAGGAAGAAGAAGAACTAAATCTCACCTAATTTTTTGGTGAGGAGGTACTATGCACAAGCTAGGGCTTACAGGGGTGAGGGGCTAGTAGGGGCTGCAAGTCTGCAGGGAAACACAAGAGGGATAGGAGAAAAATGTGAAAATCAGCCCTAGCCTCCTTTTAATCACCTAACTTCCTCTTTTAATCCTTTTAAGTTTGTAAGTCTTGTTTTGAGCCCAACAATAATGATTTCTCCTATATAAGTCCCAACTAAATTTTAAGTTTTAAGAAATCTTAATTTTTATTTTTTGGGTATTACGTAACTATAGACATTGAAAATGCCATGTGTTAATTTAGGTCTTGAAAATAGAATATTATTCTTGACCTATTGAAATTATTTTGATGATGTCTATGGACCAATCACAAAATGACATGTGTCCTAATCACAATTCAAGATTCATAAAGGAAAAGTCTTGTTCTCCAAGAAAGAATATGCCAACCGATAGGATTAAAGCATTCCTATTACTCATCAAATAAGAATAAAATTCTTATCCTAAATTACTAAGAAAATAGTTAGTAGAGAAGTTTTAATCCTAAAAGAAAGTTCTAATCCTAAAAGAACTCCTGAATGTTCCTACCAATAGGATTAAAGCATTCCTATTACTTGTCAAATAAGAAAAAAATTCTTATCCGAAATTACTGAGGGAATAGTTGATAAAAAAGTTCTAATCCTAAAAGAACTCCTCAAAACTATGCCTATAAATAGGGTACCTCTCTAAGCTTTTCAACAAACACTTCAGAAGCAAAAAACCCTGAAATAGATTTCAAGGATTAAGCTCTCTAAAGATCTCTCATTAACAAGAAACAATTTGAAGACCCT